GGCTTCACCACGGGGCTCGAGGAGCCCAAAGCCTTTCTTTTCTTCTTCTCCCCCACGACATCCCCAGGTTGTCCCATAGTGGAGGGATCAACGGACAAGGACACGTCCTCGTCCCCTTCTAATGGCCTAAGTTCGGTGGTCTTAGGCAAACCTACAAAAGGGGGGAGGGGGGGAAGAAAAGTCAGTATAATGAAAGTTAGAAGCATGGTATTAACTATTTAGAGAGAGACCTTACCATGAGAACGGGCCTCCCATCAGCCCTATGAAAGTTTGCGCCATGCGCGCTGGGAGTACATCATCTGTGTACAGATGCCCTCGATCTATTCCTTTAACCAGGGGACCGCTTTCGGAACCCGGGCGACAGCTGCACAACCACAAGTATGAATGAGAAAAAAGAAATTGAGGAAAAAATTGACGTTTAAGGAGAGACTGCACTTACGAGATGCGTTCCACATCTCAAGGAATGGCATGAACTCGGGGCAAATCAAGTCTTCATTCTTCACCCGAACAAAGCGTCCCCGCCAGCCTCGGTCTTGGTCTTCATCAATGCTCGAAAAGGGGGCCTTGGTGGCTCGGCAAGTAAGCTTGATCAGTCCCCTTCAAAAAATTCAGGGAATGATAAACGGAGTAGATGATCGATGGTGAAACGACGTGACTCGGTCTTGTTCACGAAGTAACGAAGGAGGATCACGATCCTCCATAGAGATGTGTGGATTTGCCCGAGGCACATTTCGCACCTCTTGCAAAAATCTAGAGCAATCGGATCCATCGGGCGCAGTGTGAAGGGGTAAGTGTAAACACTTAAATACCCCTCCATATGGGTAGTAATGGCATCCTCGGGCCCGGGGACTACAACATCCTTACCTTCCCAATTGCAGTCCTTTCGGACCACGGGAAGGACGTCTTCAGTCAGGGAGCATATGTACCTTGATGCTCCTTCACCCTGGTCCTGTTTGTGTGAGGGTTTCTTGACCTTAAAGTCGTCAGTAATCGAGCAGACCCCGAGAATAAACGTTTTCAAGGGAGGCTCGGAGGCCGGTTCGTCGGCAGCCACCTCGGGAGAAGTCGTTTCGAGGGCAACTACTTTAGGAGTAACCGCCTCAGTACTGGCAGTCGGTTGGGAAGATGAAGAGGCAACTTTCTGAGGAACATATTTAGATGTTTTAGCCATTGTTGTCTGGAGAAGTTTGAAGATTTAGAGAAAAAATATGAAGGTTTGAAAGAGCGAGATCTGAAGGATGAAGAACTGAGTATGGAGATTTGAAGGAAGTCTCGGTAGAAACCTGGAAATCACTATGAAGATTTAAAGATAAAAAAATGAAAGTATGAAGGTTTGAAAGAAGTTTGATGATAGCTGGGGAGCTCGAAGGTAAAAGTTTGGTCGAAAAGTAGAAAAAGAACTAAGGATGGAAGCTTTTATAGGGAAGCAGGCGACGCTTCGCATTCGGATGCTACCAGTCGATGATTGACACATGTTCGAAGTCAGAACGACGTGACTGACGGGACGTTTTGGATCCTTCGTTGTAACGTATGAAAGAAGGAATCGGAGAACATCTGTCATTTCTCATTGTTTCGGCAAACCTACTCTCTAAGAAATAAGGGGACTATCTGTATATGGGTAAACCGAGGCTGGTGAGTGCCCCGATTTTTCAGTGAGGCAAACGAAGCAAGGATATGACTGCATGGAATAGGAATCGAAGCCAGGAGCCTCTCGCATCAAGGCCCGAGCAAAACACCTGCCCTCCGAACCATCGAGACCACGCCCCCCGGGTCCGGTTCGAGACCCAAGACCTCGGGGAGCATCACTGAATGACCACGCACGATTAACAAAGGGCCGTGATATCCGTGTCTAACCAGATCATAAATCTCGATCCATATTAGCCGTAGATCAGTGATTAGCGAAGAGGAAGATTTTTACCTTTTTTAGAATTGTACTTAGGGTAAAATTCCCCTACTATATAAAGGGGAAGCTAATTATTCATTAAGAACATGGTAACACGTATACCAAGGCAATATACATATGTTCTTTCCGTTTCTAAAAGTTATTCAATGTTCTTGCTTTCATTCATAAATTCTTCATAAGTGTTGTCTCGGAACCAAAGGCAAGTTTCTCGTTAAGCCTTTAACCGAACTCGGAATCCCTATCATCATTGGTTTGGCTATTTACTATATCTTTTATTTGCTTATATAACATCATTAATCACTTGTATTGAATTAGTCTATATATCCTTAAAACCCCGTATAAATTCAATTGTTATCCTTTTTTAAGGGTAAACAACTACGAAGCTCCTTACTACATAAATTAGTGATTCAACAAGTCGCTCATCTAACCAAGGATAACAATCGTGTTCATCAATGGCTTCTAATTAAGAGCCCGTTTGGCTATGAATTTCTTTTAATCTTTTTTTGAAATTTTTTTACTTTTTTCGAAAACAGTGTTTGACCATAAAATTTTTAATTTTCACTAAGATGAACTTTGGAATTTTTCGAAAATTTGAAAAACTCTTAAAAGGGGTTTTCTAAAATTCACTCAAATTCCTCACAAATATTAAAAAACAACTCAAAATTATATTTATGTCCGAACACAACTCTAATTTTCTAATACAATTTTCACTTAATTTTTTTTTTCCCGGAATTTTACAATTCTTATGCCAACGCCCACTAATAGCCTGTTTGGCCAAGCTTTTTTTTGGCCAAAAGTGCTTTTTGTTTTTGCCAAAAGCACTTTTGGCCAAAAATTGAGGTGTTTGGCCAAGCTTTTGGAAGGAAAAAAAGTGCTTTTGAGGAGAAGCAAAAGCAGAAAAAAGTAGCTTCTCTCCAAAAGCACTTTTTTGAGAAGCACTTTTGAGAAAAATACACTTAAAAGCAGTTTTTTAAAGCTTGGCCAAACACTAATTGCTGCTCAGAAGTGCTTTTCAAACTAATTAGCCAAACACAAACTGCTTCTTACCAAAAGTACTTTTGAGAAAAGCACTTTTAGAAAAAAACACTTCTCAAAATAAGCTGTTTTTTGCAGCTTGGCCAAACGGACTATAAGACTTGAATATGTGGAAGCCACTGTTGAGGAATTGAATTGACTCTGCCTCGAACCAATAGGTTTCTGAAATCCGACAAATCTTTCATAATGTTTGGTGGAGAAGACTGGACTTATTAATTCTACACCTAGTGGTCCAAGACTTGCTTGCATTTTGGTAATACCAAGGCAGGGCGGCTCAAACACATTTAATTTGAGGCCTAAACTTTTAACAGAAAGTTATAATATTTCTTCAAAGACAAAGAGAAAATATATAGGGATTTCTAAAGTATGAGGAGATTGGAGAAAAGAAAAATTGATTTGGACAAATTAAAAAAGAGATAGTAAAAAATTTTACACGTTATCTAATGCAGGAGTAAATGGAATTGTCAAATCAACTCAAATTGAAACATTTGAAAAACTATTTATCTACCCATTTTTAAGTAAGTTAAATTATTACTTTATTTATATATCTAAAAAAATTCTTTCCTCTTATATGAAAAATTCTTTTATACTAAATGTATTAAATATTATTTTTCTAAACACCTATAAACCTATTATTTTTTAAAAATGGACCCCCAAAGCTACTCTTTTGGCACCTACATGTGGTAGTTCCATTCGATGTGCGATGTACACTTTATTACTTCAATTTAAAGGTTTCAACTACCAGTATTTGATTGATATTCATTACTATTTCCTTTCCATACTCTTCTGTGCACTGTACCTCTCTCATTCAATAGGGGTTACTCCATCATAGATAGATCCAAAATTTTAATTTAATGGTTTCCTTTCTAGCATATCTCTCATAGACTTGCGTCCCCCTGCATCCCATATAATATTGAAAAATAATTTTTGTTTTGCTTGTTTGTATTTTATTTTGTTGTAAGATTAATTCTTGATACGTAATACATACATATACTGATATACATATCGTATATTTACGTCTTTCCTCCAACCTCCTATGCCTTTGTGAATAGTATGGGGCGGAGCCAGAGTGCCGACTGCGGGTTCCACCGAACCTAGTAATTTTGATTAAAACCATGTATTTATTTTAAAAAGTTCATTGAATATGTACGAATTATTAATTTAGAACCCAATAACTTAAAAGAATTAGACTACTTGACCTATAAGCTTGAAATGCCTGCTCCTCTATCAATAGTCACCCAAGAGAAAGAGATGGTTTAACATTTACTCCTCCATTGTACTTTCTTCTTCCTATTGAATTTTACACTGCGCAACAGTGCAAAACGAACCCACTTGTTTATATTTTTTGGGGTCCATTTCCATGGTGAGGTGACCATACAAAACTATTGTACAGTACAATATGGACCATTCTCACCTACACTTGTTCTCTCTTTTCATTGTTTTTTACTTCGCAATTTTGCCAGCTATACCATTAAAATTTATGCCTCCTATCTTGTTCGATATTTATCCATTTTTTTAGTATGCTTTATTTTGTTGACCCAAAAAAAAGAAGAGGTGATTCACTTTAAATGTTGATCGACAAGCAGTAAAAAGAGTAGCCCGATGCACTAAACTCTCGTTATATGCGGATCCACGAAAGGGCCGGACCACAAGAATCTATTGTACGTACCCTTACCCTGCAATTATGCAAGAGTTTGTTTTCACGAACCCGTTAGCTCATGATCATAGGACAACAACTTTACTAATTACACCAAGCCTTCCCTTCAAAAAATTTTGCCAAGCAGCTACAAAATAGAGGATAGCATTAAAAATGAAAAGCAGCTAATACATAACAGAAAATGGTGGATAGGCTAATAATGAGGGGGGTGTGGGGGGGATAAGCATCTAAGATATAGTAATAATACTCCTAATACTCAGGATACAACTGAGTGGTTTTTGCTATAAAAAGAAAAAAGAAAAAAAGTAGCAAATCTTTAAACTTGCTTCTCTCAAGTCCTCCTCATGCCAGATTTCAAGCCTTTAATTTCCATTAATAAACGGGAGCGGGGAGTGAATGATAGCCAGAGGATCAACTTCTTCTTGATCCCATGGCTGTCTTTCTCCCGTGCTCCCTATTTAAGCTGTGAAAGCCTCAAATAGAAAATTAAACCCAATAGATGAAATGCGCAACACAAAGAGCTAAAATAATGAAATCCTAGTGAAAATCAGTAAAGGAAGGAAACTCTTTGTAGGCTTGGTCTTGCTCGGTCCTCAGTTTATCATCAGGTAGTAGTACGGAGGTTCTCCATTCTATGTTAGAATACAATTTTCCGTTTAGTTTAATACTATTTTGTATCTCATCTCTTGTATATTGAGGACTAAAAAAGTGGAAAAAAAATGAAATTAATATGGAGTTACTTATTTCGTCATAGAATCTGATGTTTGATTCTGAGAGCATATGAGTACTGTGAACTTTTACGTTCTCACGCTCTGCATTGCATGTTGATGCCGTCATTTTTATTAATGTTTTGTTATAAACATAATGGCTTAGTTGAATTTAGAGTCATTACCTATAATAGCCTCTTCCCTTTTTAGCAAAACTTTAACATTCTTCTTCTTCTTCGACAAAATTAAAGGGGGTACAATATATGTAACGAAGGAAGCTCGTGTCAATGCTTTTCTTGCAATAATAACAATACGCCGGTGAAATTCATAAGAACTTGTTTGGAATGCCACCTTGGAAATGGATTTGGGTGTGATTGGGTGTAATCAGACAGTTTGACATGTTTGTTTTGCCAAGTAATTACTTGGTCAGTATAAAATTGGGTGTAATTGGAGGGGTGTAATTACACTCTCCAATTCTCAAGGGGGATGTGAGAATTAGTGGTAGTGTAATTACAAGATTGCTTTTTAGTTTCTTTCCTTTTTGTTTTTATTTTAATTTATTTTCTTTATAACTTTTTATTCCTATTATTACATTTTTAATTTTATTTTTACTTTTTAAGTTCTTTTGAAATTTTAAAATATAGTTTTCTTTGTACATTATTTATCTTTTATTTCTCTATCTTTACTTCTTGTGATTCCATGTAATTGCTTACTATATTTTATTTTTTATTTATTTTATTATTCTATTTTTTAAAACTACACCTGCTAATATTAGAAATAACGAGTCATTAACAAACTTGGCACATAATGAGTGATGCAATTAAAGTGGAATTTTATTGTTGAATGTGGTTATAAACTTATCATGTTTCCTAATTATTAAGTTGCACTGAAACTTACTATTATTATGTTGGATATTGACATATGTTAACTATTTTATTTATTTTTTTGAATTTTGAAATTATGTTATATTCATGGTTCAAATTTACTTGTTTTAGTAGTATTGACTCACATTGCATGTTGTTTATTTTTTAGTTAGAATTGGTAGATTAGCTTTATCAAATATTTAAATAATGTTATGACATTATATTTGTAAATATTAATTTATTTTATCAAACATGAATTCCATGATGTTCTTACAAAAACGTATATTTTTTATTTTTGTAAGTATCTAAACTAAATATTATTAATTTAAAAATTATCTATAAATTATTTGTACAATATTAGTTATAAATTTACTAAATTAATGTATATCCACGAAAAAATACATCTGAAACACAAAATATAATATCATTTATACTTATAAAAATTTATAGGCATATATTTATTATATTAACTTTTAAGTTCTGATAATTACTTAATTTGAAATTTAATCTAACTGTGTAATTATACTTGTGCAACCAAACAGTAAACTTGTAGTTACACTGTAATTACACTATGACTTTATAATTATTGCACCATAGGAGTCTTTGAACATGGATGAACGCAAAGGCGGATAAAGGATTTTGACTTTTTGAGTTTAACCTTTAAGATTTTTAGCATTAAACCAATTATATTGTTAATTCATATCAACTACTTATTGCAATTTTAGTGAATTTTTACGCATAAATATATGTTCTGAGTCAAAAGTACTAAGTTTAGATGAACTTGGTACTACGAGCGGGAAAGGAGCATGAGTTCACGTAAATTTATATCCCGTAATCTAGATACGTAAAGGTAGAGAGGCTATTTCCGATAGACCCATTAATGATATTCTTGCATCCGTAGATTTTGAAGCCCATCGACTTCATATTTCTAAATTCTAAGTGATTTTGTCATTCCTCATTTAACTTGTGATGTTAAATTATCTTTGTCTTGTCAATGGCAGCTTACAATACAGGAGGATTCGTTTTGCGGGATTCTGCGCTACTGCTTTAAGTTTTGGAGGGAAAGAAAAGATCACGTGAGGTGTCCGTGGGTTTTTTCTCGAAAAAAAAAACTGACGGAAGTTCGGTCTTGGACCGTAAGTGCGTCACTTTGTCAAAGAATGTGGACTAGTAAGATGAATTCTCCAAAGATAATGGACTATTTTGCACTTTATCTCAAAAACTCACATCATCCACCTTGTATTACGATATCTCGTAGGAGAATGTCTCAAAAACACAATCCAAACCCGACTTACGACGTGATAATCTTAGGAGCCTCGGGTTTTACAGGCAAACACGTCATTAGAGAAGCTCTCAAATTCCTCAACGTTCCCTCTTCCCCCTTAAAAAGCTTAGCTATAGCAGGCCGGAACAGTTCCAAACTTTCCCATGCACTCCAATGGGCCTCCCGTTCAAATCCACAACCCCAAATTCCAATCCTCACCGCCGACACAACCGACCCATCTTCTCTCCGCAACCTCGCTTCTCAGGCTAAGATCATTCTCAACTGTGTCGGCCCGTTTCGTCTTTACGGTGAGCCCGTTGTTAAGGCCTGTGCTGATTCGGGTTGCGATTACTTGGATATTTGTGGAGAGCCCGAGTTTATGGAGAGGATGGAAATGAAGTACCATGATAAGGCTGTAGAAATGGGCTCTTTAATTGTTTCGGCCTGTGGTTTTGATTCTATTCCTGCTGAATTAGGCTGGATGTTCAATTCGAGACAGTGGCTACCGCCGGCAATTTGCAATCGAATTGAGGGCTACATTAGTCTAGAATCGGACAAGAGAATTGTTGGAAACTTAGGGACGTACGAGTCAGCGGTGCTTAGTGTGGCTAATGCGGACAAGTTACAGGAACTAAGGCGCTCCAGACCTAAGAGGCCTCGTCCTGTGGTAAGTTTTATGATCATAACATGGCTTATATACTCATCTCGCTCAATGTGTATGAAGATATATTTACACTTTTATTGAAGTTAGATTGGAAAGAATCTGATATCCAATACATAAACTTAAAGATCCGATATTGGGGTTACTTGCTTCAACAGGGGATTACGATTGTAAGAATGGACTTACCAAACGTTAACTCTCATGCCTTATGAAAAATTATAAGCTTCCAATGCAAAAGTTGTAAGGCTATGGGTGGAGTAGCAGGGGCGAATGTAGCATATATTCAGGCGGGTTCAGTTGAACCCATAACTTTCAACGCGGAGTTAAAATTTATATGTAAAAATTCATTAAAATTGCAAAAATAGTAGATATGAACCCATAACTTTAAAAATATAATGGGTTCAATGTTAAGAATTTTAAAAGTTGAACCCATAGGGTTTAAATCCTGGATCCGCCTCTGTGGAGTAGCTCATATTTTTGTGAATTCATGTAGGAAAAATGTTAAAGCTCAGATCAATCACATACGTAAAATCCTTGTATAACTATTCTATCTTCACTACTCTTTTGTTTCACCGTAGAAAATGATGTAGGCGGATCTAGCTTTTCTAGTACATGAAAAAAGGAGGAAAAAATATATTAAGTGGGAATTGATCCCTATTCCTCTTGGTAAATAACTCAACCTTCAACCAAGTGCACCATTCAACCTTCTTAAAGTATGGCTGCCAACAACTAATATTGTACTAGTTTTAGAAAATCTGTATATAAAATATTTAATTTTGGGAAGAGACGATGGGTTCACGTGTCCCATAATTTTGCCTATAAATCCGACCCTGTGTACGTTAAGAAGCAATTGATTCTTAAAGCTTAGAAGTAGATTAGTCATTATGTGATTGATGGTGTAGTTAACTAATTTAGTCAATTACGTTAAGGTGGTTTCCACATTTTGCAGAATGTTTACGCTGTTAACAAAATGTCCACAGCATCATTTATGTTTTCTTCAATAACACATCAGATCTGTGAAATATTTTATTTCTCTTCCACACTCCAATATTTTCCCGTTTGTTTCAGATTTCTGGTCCTCCCCCTCCTAAAGGTCCAAAGGTGCACCACCTTAAGGAAATTGGGCTTTGGTCTGTAAAGTTACCATCAGCGGATGCAACTATAGTGCGGAGAACACTTTCATGTTTGGATGAAAATCCTCGTGGTTTACCTGGTGTTAATGAAAACACCGAACAGGTTGAGAGGAGGGAGGCATTTTGGTCTAGCATAAAGCCAGCTCACTTTGGTATGAAGATAGCTTCGAAATCTCTGATAGGTGTTGTTCGTTTCATTATAGTTGGCTGGTTCATTGGTCACTTTGGTAAAACTGGTATCGGCAGATGGCTGCTCTTGAATTTCCCTTCAGTGTTCAGTCTTGGATATTTCAGGAAAAAAGGTCCAACTGAAGATGAAGTAGCAAGTGCTAATTTTAAGATGTGGTTTGTTGGACACGGGTATAGTGATGGCAATCTTGCATCACAAGGAAACAAGAAACCTGATACGGAGATAATTACAAGAGTAATGGGACCTGAGATTGGTTATTCGACAACTCCGATCATTCTAGTCCAGTGTGCCCTCGTTTTGCTCAAGGAACGAGACAATCTTCCAAAGGGAGGTGTTTTCCCTCCTGGGATTGTGTTTGGCCCGACAGACCTCCAAGATAGGCTTCAACAGAATGGAATATTTTTTGATGTTATTTCGAAGAAAACTATAAACTAAATGGTAGTTCAGTGCAGTTTTAGTCATAATGCCATATGGAAAATTCGAATTTATGCCACAGTTATAATGATTCTGTTAATTCCTTCTGTGCTTCTTCAATGCCTTAAGATGCTTTTCTGTTTTTTTCTTCTTTCTAAGGACTAACTCCAGAATATCTGGCCATCTTTCTGGTTCTTTCTTTGTAGTGTCTTGACTATTTTTACTACCATACATAAAAGGTAGTTATAGAGAACTCCTAATTTGTCTTAAGAGATGAATTATGAGTGAATGAAATTAGGAATGGCAGGCGGTGCCGGACTGGTTCTATCTGAACCCACACAACTTCAACCTGTCCCGCCCCGCATAGGATTTAAAACCGCATTCACCCGCCCGCCCCGCAAATTTTTTAAATAAAAATTCTCTCTTTTTTGTGGGCTTGCCAATAAAAATTAGCCGAAAGAAATCTTGATTGTTGTCTCAAATGTTCCAAATGACTAACACATAAATTATGAGGGAGCTGTGAACACATAGCAAAAAAGCACAATATGATGCCAATTTTAAATGTTTATTTCTTATTCTTGTGTTATTGAAATGTCCCAATCATAAGACTGAATTGTCTTTCAGTTATTATAAAAGGAAGAAGACTAAATTTTGTGGACTGTGATTTGATAGAGGAAATGATTCTGATACGTTTGTTAGCAACATGGTAATTTCCTGAGTGAGGTTTATGTATACCTCTCTGGTGAGTGTAAAGATTTGCAAGCAAACACAATGTTGAACCCCAATCAACATGTAAATCAAGACACGTTCAAGAAATTAGTGTGTGGCTGGCAGCGTTTTAGCCTTCTAGGTTTTTAGTTCAAAAAAATTAAAATCTTGACCCGCGACCCGTCCTACCCCGCGTTAGTTTTTTTAAAAAAGAATTAGAACCTACCCCGCCTTGCCCCGCAAACACCCGCCCCGCCCTCACCCGCACCGCCCTATTACCATCCCTAAATGAAATAGCCCTCCGAATAGAGCGGAATGGCTATAGAGGATTCACATAGGATACTACAACTAGTTTGGGAATTGGGATTGAGCTATGGCTGATTGACTAAAATACAAGTTTTCTCTCTTTTTTATATTAGTAGGTTGATGTAGGTTAATTGACTAGATAATATTAAAGTATATTATGTCTCTTTTAATATAGTTCTCTTTGTTGTCTGGAAATATAAAAAAACCAAGGTAACAGCAAAATTTATTTGAGGATCGGATTTAACATTCATAATATTTGGGATTTTTGCATTAAACCTCAAGCAAAGATACTTTCAAAATTATGTACTCTAACTTAGATTATTAAGCTGGATTATTATTCCAGCTATTGTCTAAAACTTTTTGGTTGAAGAGCGAATATACACTTTTATATTCTTCTATGTAATATGTTTTAATGCACCTAAATAAAAGGAAAAAAAAAAAAGAATGTCACAAAATAGCACTTAATTCAAACGTGTGATCTTGCAGTTCAATTTTGGACATTTTCCCATTAAGTTGTCCGAAATGTTGAGTTAGGAGTGCCAATGTTTTGCGCGGGTTAGTTGGGCTTCGGATGGGCTTGACCCAAGTTGAACGGGGTCTCTTCACGACGCCGTTTACTCCTCCTTTGTCAAGTAAAGTTCAATCCCCGGCAAAATCACCATTTCCAACTCTCCGACTAGTAGTGAGGTAAGTGAGAAGAATCCTCCCATCAAGTTAATGCCATGAGCGCCTGCAAAACCCTATTTCGCTCTTCAATTTCGTTTATTGAGTTCAAAACTCGAAGCAGTTATCAGAGAAGTTTCTCTTCTCATTTTTCATCCAATTTCTCTCCTTTTAACGCACTGCGTCTACTCTCTCCTAATCCAGGTATCTATTTATAATGTTTGTGATTCTGTATGTGTTGCTTTATATCTGTGTACTACACTAACCTTGTTCTCTACTGTATTTCTATGTAGGATTTAGAATCAAACCGTGTAGAGCTACTTCAAGACTATATGGCTGCACTCAAGGAGCAATTTCACTGGAAACTTCGGACAATGCGGAGGAAATGACAGTTCCGCATGTCGCCGTAGAAATTCCGGAGGAAAAATCGGAAGATACAGTAGAAGAGTTGCTTTCCAATAGAGACGATGTAACAAAATTTATGAAAATGGAACGCAGGTCCAATACTGAAGGCCAGGGTCATCAGGACCGTTGGTTTCCGTATTTGGATAGATTTAAGGCGGGAAATGTGGATTTGAATAGCGCAGAGATATTGGAAGCTTTGAACCCGGTTATAATGGATTCAAGGAAAGAGAGGTTTAGAAATGCTGTGATGAATCGGACATATTCTGTATGTTTAGTGGTGGAAGGTTTGAGTGATTTTGGCAATATTTCAGCTGCGTTTCGGTCAGCTGATGCACTGGGCATTCAGTCAGTCCATGTTGTAGCGTGTGACTGTTCGAAAAGGTGCTCAGCACTTTAGGTGAAAATAGTACTTACTGTATTTGTTTCTTTTTCTTATCATGATATTGCTTAATGATTAGCAGTTTTAGTAGTATGGACTTGAGTTTCAAATGTATTCTTAGCATAATACATGATTTACAACAATGTGTTTGAGGCGACATGCTTTATAGTTTCCCCTCCTTTGGCTAGGGAAATAAAGAAGAACGTTTGGTTTTGTGTTATACCCAACTCGCGGTTATATTTAGTGAAACAAATGCATTTTGTGGTGTACTTAGTCATCGTGTTGATTAAGGTTTAATGCAAAGCGTTCCAGAAGTGGTTTACTATCTAACAGTGCAAACAAATCCTGTCACAGAGAGTTCCAATATTTTTGTTTGACGATTTAATTTTGCAGGATAATACCCCTATTTATAAGTGAATTGGTTTTGTAGAGCACTCTTTGTGCAAGTGCCTTGACATTTACTATCTGCCTACAGGTACAGGGAGAATCGCCATGTCAGCATGGGAGCTGAGAAATGGTTGGACATCGAACTTTGGGATTCTGTCCTTGAGTGTTTCAAAGTTTTGAAATCACGTGGTTATCGTATTGCAACAACACATCTTGGAATGGACACAGTATGGAGATCCTCTTTTATTTCTTATACTGAATTGCCTGTGAAAATTTGCTTGCTCATTTTTGGTTCTTTCCGTTTTATTGCTTTCTCAAGATGTCAATTGAACGTTGTCTTTCTGTTGTAGGTTTCTGTATACGATATGGACTGGTCATGCCCAACTGCAATTGTTGTTGGAAATGAACTTAGGTAGGTGTTATAGTCTGCTGTCCTCGTTCAAGAATAGTTATTCAGCTTTGATCCTACCTGCTGACAGGGACTACTATATTCTGTCACATATGAACTATAATCATATTAGCATCTGCGATCATTTTTATGGTAGAATTTGTAATCAGTTTCTTTTTTGTCTTGGTTCTCTATTTTAATGATCTTCTTTATGCTGAAGAAGATCTAATTCTATTTCCTTGTAAAATTAGAGATAATAGGAATATTGCCTCTTGGCATGAAACCTATGATTTATTTTTCTGAGATGGACCAGAACTAGATGAGATATTGTTGTTTGCAGGGGAATTAGTGATGAGGCTCTTGAATTATCAGACTTGCACTGCAGTATTCCAATGAAAGGCATGGTAGACTCATTCAATGTATCTGTTGCTGCTGGCCTACTTATGCATCATGCCGTCTGTGACAGAACTTCTCGCTTGGTACGTGTTCCGTAGCGCTGCAGAACATTCACTTAACTCTTAATTTATACTCTTCTCGTTCCTTTTTTAATTCTTTCTCCTCTGATGGAGGGGGGTGGGGACAATCAAATTGCAGTACATCCGATGGAATGGAGAAACTATGGACTAGGGTTACCTTTTTTTTTTCTCGGTGATACAAGCATTGCCTTGATTTTCTCTCTTTCTGGATGGGGTTGTGGGTTAAAGGTTATACATGTTACATTAGCTACATAGCATGTTGTTCTTCCATCTTTTTTTTAACCTTCCGTGGAAATAGGAAAATAATGGTACAATCTTTCTGCCTATGGTGCTTCTCTACTAACAATCGAGAAGGTACAGCGTAGGAAAAGAGTGGTACAATCTATCTTCAGTGTTAATTGATATATCTCCTGTATTATTGTACCTAAGAAAATCCACAGAAGGATTTGGCCTTCTTTTGTTCATGATCTCCAAGATTCCATGTACAGAAATTTGAATTTTTTTTTTCTTTTAAGGGATGTCATGGAGATCTAACTAGTGAAGAGAGCCAAATCTTGCTGGCAGAATTCACTTTGCGCCACAGCAATAGTGCAATTAGGATTGCTCATGAATATGCAAAAAGGAAGATACCTGAGCTTAAATCAAAGCTGTGAATAACTGGTCAAACTAGTTTCCTGAAGGAAGTTGTTTTAGCCTATTTGCACGTGGAAACTTCACAGGTATTTCCCTACATAAGTGATTAACAATTTTTTCAAATATGTCTATATTTGTTGTTTCGTGGTTTGCTCTTTTCTTTCTTCTTCTTTTCCTTGTCGTAGTGGAACAAAGTTCAGAAGTTCACTTTGTGTTTAGACTTTGAATGACTTATGTTTTGGTTTTAATTACTCTCAGTAATATGTCTGGACATTCGACACACTTGATGCTGCTGACTGCCTGGTCGTATAACTGAGCAGCTATGCGTTTGCATTTTTTGGGTAGTTCTGATACAGCTTATGTATAGCTTTACTTTCACCAGTTTGCTTATTTATGCCCACCATTTTTTACTCCTTAATGTTTTTGTTAATCACTCAGACGAAATATCTTTCAAGAAAAAATTGAGAAACATTCTTTATTTTTCCTTCTGGGATTTGATGGTTTAATGTTGTTTTAAATTATATCACCGTTTGAAGGATTTTTGCCTTGCATATTTGTCATTTTTTAAGAAAGAGTTGCTCACGCGAAAACCTTGAGGAATATGCTGTGAGCTTTTGCTTTCTTTCCGCCAACTGCTTTCTTATGTTGAATCAATGAAGCCCTCTCACCAAGCCACCTTCTACCGAAAGTGTAGCTGAAAAGGAGGTGGTTTAATGCAATCTAATAAACGGGGAGCTGTGGAAATTTGTTTGCCTTACAACCATCTGAATACTTTCTTCATCTTCTTTAATCTTCTCTCTTTATTTCTTCCACCCCAATAATGCCTAAGATTACTGATATGCTAAAAGAAAAACGGAAAGATAAATAAATCAAGTACCCAAATCAACAAAGGTATTACCCTTTTTTTTATAAGGTAAATTGTATTAATCAAAAGGGAGAGAACTCCCGTATACAGGAAGTATACCAAAAGTAGAGAATTTACATCAGAACATGATTCTCTACAAAAGACGCCCAATCTTCTATACAAGTAGCCAAAAAGCGATCAAAGATAAAAAACTATTCTTAAGATGTGAAAAAGGAGACTCAATCCCCTCAAAAGCTCTCCTATTTTTCTCCCCCAAAACTATCCACATGAGAGCTAACGAGGCGTACTTCCACGCCTTTTGCTTTCTTCTTCTACGGAAACTTGCCCAGCTATATAACATTTCCTTTACAGTGCTTGGCATCACCCATTGAACACCAAAAAGGTTCAGGATTGCCCTCCACAAAGCCGAGGACACAGGGCAATGCAACAAAAGATGATCAACTTCTTCCCCTGAGCTTTTACACATATAGCACCAACTAACAAGTGTAATTCCTCTCTTTCGCAGATTCTCAGTGGTCAAAATCACTTCCCTTGCCTTTGTGGGCGCCTTAGGAATCCAGATCGAGGAGTATGGAAAAGAGGCCTCCTCTCTCACCAACATACTCTGGTAAAAGGACTTTACGGTGAACAAACCATCGCCACACAAACCCATCTCCAAGAATCATAAGATGATCGGGGCCTGTCTTGCCTATATAGCAGTGTGAATAAATCTTGGAGCTCCGTAATCTCCCAATCTTGCATGTTCCTTCTAAATGAGAGGTCCCATACTACCCCCGCCCCCCTTCATGCTCCTTACGAATCTGTTGGATCATCAATTCCTTCTGGTTTGAAACCCTGAAGACGGGGGAAAGGAGACCCTCAGAGTATCCTCTCCACACCACCTATGATTCCAAAAGCTGATTCTCCTTCCATCTCCCACCCTGTAAGTGATGTTGCCTCCATCTCCCACCCTATAAGTGATGTTGCCACGGAAGGATTCCCAATTCTTCATGATGCTCCTCCACATGTCACACCCGAAAGGTGTTGTGATTTCTTTGGTCCTCCAACACCCTCCCGTGGAATAGTACTTTTCTACTATGACCTCCCTCTATAGAGCATGCTCTTCTACCCCGAATCTCCACAGCTATTTCCCCAACAAAGCTCTGTTGAATACCCTAAGATCTTTTACTCCAAGTCCACCCACTTCTTTGGGGAAGTGATTGTCTGCCAATTCACTAGATGATACTTTCTAGTTCCACCCGTCGCATCCCAAAGAAAATTCCTTTGAAGCCGCTCCAGTTTTTCTGTGATGCTCACAGGAGCTTGCAACAGGGACAAGTAATAGGTGGGCTTACTCAATAAAGTGCTTTTAATAAGCACTTCCTTTTCGCCTTTTGACAAGTACCGTTTCTGCCAGCCTGTTAATCTTTTTTCAACCCTTTCGATCACTGGATTCCAAACCGTAGTATCCTTATGCGAAGCGCCCAATGGGAGACCTAGGTAAGTAGTGGGAAGTGAGCCCACCTTACATTTGAGAACATAAGACAAAGCATTAATGCTAGCAAACTCACCCACCGGAAAAATCTCACACTTGCCGAGGTTGATTTTGAGACCTGATACTATCTGAAACCACTGTAGGACCTGCTTCAGGTAGGTCAATTGATCCATATCGGCATCACATAAAACCAGGGTGTCATCCGGAAAAAGCAAATGAGAGACTCTTCGGGCATTGGGCACCCCGATCTGAGCTGAGAATCCTCTCAAGAAGCCTCCGCCCCCGCGCGATCCATCATTTTACTCAGAGCATCCATTACTACAATGAATAGCATGGGGATAGGGGGTCTTCTTGCCTGAGACCCCTGGAGCTGCCGAAGAAACCACACGGGCTACCACTAACCAGGACAGAGAATCTGACAGAGGGAATGCAGAACTTGATTCATCCCCTCCATCTTGCCCCAAACCCCATCCGCATCATAATGAAATCCAGGAACTCCCAATTGACATGGTCGAAAGCCTTCTCAAGGTCCAACTTGCATAGTAAGCCGGGATCTCTATTTTTCCTTCTAGAGTCTACAAGTTCATTTTCCACCAAAGCGGCATCCAGGATCTGCCTACCTTCCACAAACGCATTCTAGGAGGACGAAACAGACACGTCAAGAACCTTCTTGAGTCTGTTGGAAAGCACTTTAGAAATAATCTTGTTAATGCTCCCCACGAGACTAATAGGCCCGTAGTCTCTGGTACAAGATGCACAAAGAAGCATTGATACTTCTTCCGGAAACACCATTCACATGGAAGTATTCAATGGCTTCCATCAACTTCCCCTTCATGGTGTCCCAACAGAGCTAGAAGAAGGCCAAGGAGAAACCATCAGGGCCGGGGGCCTTATCACCAGCACAACTCGACACAGCCTCGTGCACCTCCTTCTCCTCAAAAGCCATTTCTAGCCACTCATTGTCTCTCTTCCCTACGTGGTTGAACTCTATTCCCCCCCAAAGTTGGCGTCTAACTAACTTCCTCTTTGTATAAGTTCTCATAAAACCCCACTATTGCCCCTTTTACCTCCTCCTCTCGCTCAATCCTCACCCCATCCACAACTAAGGATTCTATGAAGTTTCTCCTTCGATTTGCAACCGCCACCCTGTGGAAAAATTTGGTATTCGAATCCCCATCGTTTAACCATAGCACCCTCGATTTTTGCCACCAACTAGTCTCCTGAGCTATTGCTAACTCGACTATTTCCCTCTTAACCTCCCCCAACCTCTCTTTCTCAGATTCATCTAACTCCCTCGCCCCTTCCCCTCTCTCTAGTTCCCCCAATTCATGCATAAGCTCCTTCATTTTAACCTCTACCCTCCCAAAAACCTCCTTATTCCACCTAATAATATCTCCCTCGAGCAATTTAAGTTTATTCGAAAGACGGAATGAAGGTGTCCCTGATACCCCGTGGCTTGTCCACCATTCGTTCACCTTGTCACCAAATCCTAGCACCTTCAACCACATGTTCTCGAATCGGAAGGGAGCACGCACACCCCTCCCTCTGCATCAATCTAGCAAGATAGGCAAATGATTCGAAGTCAGCCTAGGTAAAGGAATCTGCAGCACATTCGGCACCAGCTCATCCCAGGAGGGCGATATCAGAAATCTATCAAGTCTAGACCTTGAGTTGGAATACTCCGCCCTGGCCCAAGTAAACATTTTCCCTGATAGAGGAAGATCAATGAGAAAGTGATCATTGATGAAGTCAGAAAACTCCTCCATGGCCCTCTGTCACACCCTAATCTTGGGAGGTGTGACCGGCACCCGATGCCCGAAGGCCCAAGCGAACCAACCATGAGATATGATTTGAAATGTAATAACCTGCAGGCAAAAGAGCCCAACACGACATATATATACATATATATATATATATATATATATATATATATATATATATATATATATATATATATATANATATATATATATATATATATATAAACATATACTATATATATATATATAACTTGTTATAACGTTTGTGTGTATATATATGTACACACACACACACACACACACTAGGCCAACAAGGCTGCAACAACAGTATAACAGCTATCCAGAAGGCCGATAGGGCCATAGAAAAAAAAAATATATGCAATGACCGCTAGTCTGCAAGCCTCTAAAAGTGTAAGACAATCTCAACAGGCCGGGACAAGGCCCCCGACATACCCAAAACTACACATATACACCTGTAATAGTACCTATGGACTCAAAATCAGCAACTCCGAAGAAGTGGAGTGTGACACCCAACGCTGATCCCGGGGGTGCTACTGAGGAGGCACGCTGCTCTGTCTATCCGAACCTGTAGGCATGAACACAGCGCATAAAAAGGCGTCAGTACGAAATATTTACTGAATATGTAGGGCGACAAGTGTAACATGAAAAATGTAATTAACAAGAGAAGAGATATAGAGACAATCTGAATTCTGAAACTAGCCTCGATAGGAAACTAAAATTCAACATGAATATAAATGTATGCTCGTGGAAACGTCGCTCATTATCGCTACTTATAATATATCACATTATATAATAATAAATCCCTCTGAGGGGCTATAATATCCATAACATACCCCGCCATAATAAAGACTCGGTAGAATCGTACCCGGCCACGTGAAGCGGTAATCCCAACTGATCAGTGGTTACACAATAGGTGTCATACCCGGCCGACTATAGTGCGGCTCGGTAATGAAAGTAAATATATAC